TAGATAGTCATCTGTTATCTTTTGGAGATGTTATTTGCAAAATCCTTCTTATAAAAGTAGCAACTAATAGTTATAATAGCAATATTAGTAATATTTAATATTATTAGATCTTCTTCTAATCCAAGTATTTTAGATTTATTATGATTAAAAAAATATAACCTCCAAATAAATTAGATTTCTTAAAGTCTTGATTTTTTTGAAATTATAAGTAAGAGTATTATTAATCAAATAGAAAGTCATAAGTTTAGTATAATCAAACTCATATTTGTAGGTGTAAGAATTTTTTTACATATTATAAAAGAAAGATCACCTTGTATTATTTATGCTACAACTGTTTCTAATGGTAGATAGACTTCAAGTGGTATTCTAAGCCAATATCAAGATTATCGAGATATTTTTGAAAAAAAAAAATATGAATACTCTTCTAAAGCTTTACATCTATGATTGTTCAATTAATCTTTCAAAAGAAGCTCAACCACCATTTGGACCAATCTACAATTTATTATAAAATGAGTTGGCTGAATTCAAAGAATATATTAATGAAAATCTAGCCAAGAATTTCATATGCCATTCAAAATCTCCAACAAGAACTTCAGTCTTGTTTGTAGAGAAAAAAGATAGATCTTTTCAAATGTATATAAATTATTAAAAATTTAGTAAGATTATCATTAAGAATAAATATCTTTTATCCTTGATATTAAGATTTTTTGATCAATTGAATCTAAATAAGATCTATATCAAAATAGATTTAGAATGAACATATAATCTAGTATGCGTCAAATAAGGAGATAAATAGAAGACTATATTTTAAACCAAATACGGATATTTTGAATATAATGTCATATCTTTTAGACTTACAAATGTATTAGCAAGTTTTCAACATCTAAAAAATGATGTCTTTTGAGAATTTTTGGATGATTTTGTTGTTTTTTATTTATATAATATTTTAATTTAATCTAAAATCACAAATGAGCATGAATTTCATATTTTTTGCATATTAAAAAAATTTAGAAATATAAGACTTTACACCCAAATAAAAAAGTGTGTGTTTTACATTATTTAAGTTGACTTTTTAGGATACATCATTTCAAATGATGACCTTATGATGGATTCTAAAAAGATTTAGACTATCATATATTAGAATATATCAAAAATAATAAAAGATGTCTAATATTTTTTAAAATTTGTCAATTACTATTAAATCTTCATTAAGAATTTTTTTCAAATTACAATTCTACTTACACATCTAACATGTAAGGATAAACTTGAGTGGAGCAAAGAAGCTATAACATCTTTTGAAGCTTTGAAGCCAATTTTATATCAATATCAATTTTATATTGTATCGATTTTTTCAAGGTATTCTTTATAGAAATAGATGCCTTAGACTTTGCCTTAGGTAAGTATTATTACAAATGAGAATAGATAACAAATTCCATCTAATAGCTTTTTATTCTAAAAACTTTTTAATAATTAAAATCGACTATAAGATCTATGATAAAGAACTTCTTGTAGTTACATATTCATTTTAAAAATAGCCTCATTATTTAGAAGGCACTTTTAATCCAATCATCATGTATATAAATCAAAAGAACTTCAAATATTTCATGCAAATACATATTTTGAATTATTGCCAAGCCTATTGAAATATGACTTTATTAAGATTTAATTTTAAAATCACTTATCATTTAAAAAAATATATATATATTTATTAGATGTTATTTTTAGATGATCTTATCTTGTATCAAAAGAAAGAGATGTACCTTTGATTTATAATGGATCATTTTCTTAAAATTAGAGCAATTTCATCTTTGAGCAATGAAATCAATACTAACTATTGATTTAATTTTTTTAAGCAAGTTTAGTCAAGTATATCCTCTGAACTTTTATATATGATATTAAAAAAATAATCTTTGAAATCTCATGATACTTCTAAATTTAAATTCAAAAATAATCTACTCTATTTTAAAAAGTACTTGTATATTCTAGAAGGTGAAGCACAATTACATGTTCTTCAAGCTTGTCACAAATTCCTAATAACAAGATATTTTAAATATAATAAGACTTTGGAGCTAATATCTAGAAATTTTTAGTAGCTTTAAATATTTCAAAACAACCATAATTCTTTGTATCTATAGATTTTATTACAGATTTTTTAGTCTCAAGTTCTTATCATTCTATATTTGTGATAACAAATTGTTTCATCTAAATGGTATATTTTATATTATATAAAATCTATAATTAGTAAAAAATATTTTTTTTTATAATATCTATTATTATTATGGATTATCCAAGGATATTATATCATATAGAGGAATTCAATTTATATAGAAAATTTGAAGAATTCTTTTTAAGGTTTTAAAGATAGACATAAAATAATTTTTGTTTTCTATCCTCAAACTAATGGATAAATATAAATCAAGTTTTAGAGGAGTTTTTGATGTATATCATCAACTACCAACAAGATGATTGGATATTTCTTTTGTCATTAATAGAATTTACTTATAATAATATGGTATAGTCATCTATTCAATAAATACTTTTTTTTCTAATTATGGTTACTATCTACAACTTGATGCTTTTGACTTCTTAAGAATTGATAATCTTGCGATAGAAATTTTGAAAAATTATTTATTTGAATTACATACAATAATAAAGGCACAATTAAAAGAAACTCAAGAACAACAAAAGACCAATGTCGATGCCTATTGCAACAAAAAATGTCAATTCTATGTTAGCAATAAGATATAATTACTTTGTGGTAATATCAAGATTATTTGTTCTTGTGTCAAGTTGGACTACTATAAACTTAAACCATTTTTTATATGTAAAAAAATTAATTTAGTTGTGTATCAATTACATCTATCAAAGTCCATGAAGATCCATTATTAATTTCTTGTATCTGTTATTAAGCCATATAAGACAATAAATATGCCAAAAAAGAGACTAATATCATTGCCTCCTATAAAAATGGATAATAATTAAGAATTTGAGGTCGAAGAAGTCTTAGACTTAAGAAGGCACCGACTTAAGTTAGAATATCTTGTTCATTGATGCGGATATGTTATTAAAAAATGTACATAGGGGCCAATAAAAAAATCTTTCAAATGAAACAAAGAAGATCAAAGCTTTTCATCAATGACATCAATCAAAACTAAAATAAAGAGTCAAATAGCTAATTATTATAAAAAAAAATGTTCAATGAAGATTGAATTCCATCTTTTATCCTTTATTGTGATTTTTTTGTATTTGTAATGCTAACATGATGGAAAATTAATAATTGATAAATTCAAGTCAAGAGCTATCATTTGTGAACTTACCAAATGAAACATTGCGACTATCACAGTCTTCAAGATAATGTAATTGAAATAAAGATCCTTAAGAACATATTTTTCTTTGAATAAATGGTTAAATATAACATATTTGGTATTACAACCTTAGAAGAGACTCTCAATGTTTGATAATTTTATTGAAGATAGAAATGATTCTTAATGGTGTAACAAATGTTTTGTTTGAAGAAAATTATGAAAGCTTTAACAATCATTAAATATCAAGGTAGTCTTCTCATCTTAGAATGAGATATTATCAATTGATAAAAGGACCTATCAACTGTCTTTGAAAGAAACAAATATCAAAGTTTGTTGCAAATACAATTTGTTGCATCTTGAACTTCATCAACATATGATTATCATTCCTTGTAGAACTTATCCCTAGAAAAGAAAGAGATAATATTACAGACATACATATTTATTCTAATAATTACCTATATAATATTAATAATTAGAAGTGCATAAAAATAAATTAATCTGATAATAACTTATAGAAAAACTCCCTAAAAGCTTTATAGATTCAATTTCATCTTTATACATATTTGAAGGTAATTAGTAGGTTGAACACTTGGCCAAACAATTAGCCATGTATTGTATGTGTTGGTAGCTTGTGATATTAGTTAATCATATCATACTTATATGAAAAACTTGCCTTGTAAGTTAAGACACATGTCTTATAAATTGGACATGTGTTAGAGGTCCTATAGAACGTCGCCATATTGCTCTTAATTAGATAGTATATATAGGGGCAAGAATGAAGCCTTCTTCACTCTTATTAAGTCTTTTCTTGCTTCTAGTCTTGTTTCAAAAGTCACTAGTTTTCTTGCCTTTTCACTATAGCCATTTTACTCTTCTTTTTTTTTTTTCTTTTTTTTTTTAATATATATAATTTTTTATTTCAATCTTATCATGTTTCTTGGAGAAAAGTCTTATTTGTTTACTTGCCTTTATTAAGTTCTTGTCTTTTGACAATACCACAATTTTAATACCAATTTCAAAAGTATTAGTATATTTAATTATAAGTGTCTTATTATTATACCTATTTAATTAAAATAGTTCCACAACCAACTAAAATTTGTAATCTCTCTTAAAATTAATATTTAAACTATACATCTATAGTAAACAAAAAAAATATTGGTTTTTAGAATTTTGTATTTGGATTTTATACATTGTTGGTTGAGTAGCAATAAGTGAATAAAATACAAACATATTGTTAAACTTATTCTTTGCATTGTAAATGTCATTACTTTACAATTGTATTAAAATGCATTCCATATTATATGTGCTACATTAATAGCTTTATAGAATGCAATAGCACCTTCACATTCTCTTATGTGCAACAATGTATATTGTATACACTAGGAAACTAATCTTTGCTACACAAAATGATTAAGAAAAATACTTCTTCCTGGATGTTACACAATGTCAAATAGATAGTATGAAAAGGTACCGAATATTAAGTGTGGCTTCAAGCAATGAAGTACAAAAATGATATTGCACAAAATGTGTAGCATTACAACAACATAGCACACCAATTAAATTTTTAGGAATACTTCTTATTCTAGCAACATTGACAATATGTGGTGTAGACGATACTTATGTCCTCTACCTTGCTTCCAACCAAGGAAGCCAGATCAAATTGGGTTGCAACCACTACAAGTACTCTTCCAAATGTTATAGCAAGCGTCTACCTTTATTGCATTGACTCTTCTGAATATAACTTTACAAAAGAAAGGTAGAACACAGCTTGAACATTTGCTAAAAAAATCTGAGTGCATGTTGTCGAGCGTTGGAAGGAGAGATTCATTGGACGGAGAGAAAGTATGGGAGACATTGAAAGAAAATAATGTGTTCACAGAAGCGAACTTGGAAGGGTCTTCACGGGCTTTACGACAAATAAAGCGATTTGAGTTTGGGTCGGTACAAGTTCGAAAAGATAATTTGAGCGACCGCCCCAAACGCTGCACAGAGGCACAAAACACAATTTTGGTTGGTCACTAGGTCCGAAACGGACCTTAGTTCCATGCCGATGAAGAAATTCGAAGTGAACGTTGGAATTGCTCACCCAACCTGGAAATATTTTCGTGCGACTGCTGCGGTTGCCAAGCTTCTGTGTATCCTCCATCGTTTGGAAAACTTCATCAAGGCCAAGTCGAATTGTTCCCTGGGAATCTTCAAGAAGCAGACCAGTTGTCCAAGTGCTGCTCGAGAGAATTTTGTTGATAGGTCCCAGCATTAAACCTCGCTCGTCATTTCTATTTTCCTTCCAAGATCGTGCAATTGCTTCAAAAACTGTGATTTAGAACTCTCGAGAATCATTAAAAAATTACGTGCCTGTCGTTTTAGTTGTAAAATGTGTACGAAGCTTGCAAACATGGATCTAAGCTTACAGCTTTTGGTACGAGGATGCACTTGAAACTTGGATTTACCAGAGTGCTCCACTTTACTAGTGCGCGGACAAGATGAGGCGTCGAGCACGATCACACCCGCAACTACTGCAACACTACAGTAGAAAAAGTTAAGGTGAACCATCCTCTAAAACTTCACGCTTTAATTCATTCTGCGCTTCAACCTTTTCTTGTGGATGAAGAGTCAGCTTCTGCGAGTCTTGAAAGGGTCCAAGTGGTGCCACTGCTTCCTTGGGCCTCTTCAAACTGTAAAATATTTTTATGGAAACGTCGGAGGCTGCTGCGATGTCCTACGCTGACGATCGTTATACCAGCTTCCTGTACTGCCGTGTATAGACTTACCTGCAAATTGCCAAGTTTTACACATGACCGTTACGCATTTCAAACCTCTAACTTATTCATTAACTTCTCATATTAGATGCTGAATTGAAAATCTTTTTTTCTGACAAGATTTTCCAGCTACACGTAATGCAATATACCTCATTGTTTTCATCCAACGCGCTGGTTGATTCATCCATGAGAGCCAATTGAGGCCGAGACAGTAGAAGGCGTGCAAATGCGAGACGTTGTTGCTCTCCGAGAGACAGAACGCTGGCCCATTCCACATAAGAATCCAAACCATCACAGCGGTCCATCAAGTGACCTAATCGGACAATTTCTAACGCATCGAGAAGTTCACCATCGTTTGGGGATGGTCTCCGCACTACTTTCGACTTAGTGGTATCCATTTTCGAAACGAAGGGGAAAGAACCTAAGCAAACCAGACATGATGTCAGTAAATACATCCCTGGGAATTGAGGTCCTTAAAGTGCATTGCTCCTTTCACTTTGTAACACAGGCAATGCTGTACTCCTATGGTAGTTCAATAGCCAAGCATTTATTAATGCAGCTTCATATGGGAATATCTATCAAAAGTTGCTGATGAATGCCCTACAACAAGCAAGAGGTGGAATTTACCATTAGATGTATCCACGTTAACTTCTACTTCGCTCCACATAGGGTACAGTAGCTGTTGTCGAAGTGTGCCAAGGACCATGTATGGCCGCTGTGGCAAGAAAAACACTTCACCGTTGCCCAAGCTTTCAGCATTTTCCACCGAAGCCCCGTTTCCTTTGTCGTTCTGCAACTTGCTAACATCGTCTTCCACTCTATACTGATCTCCCTCCACACGATGTCCCACATATCGCTTGATTGTGCCATAGCCTGATCTCCAAAGTCCAGCAATGGCCCTTAATAAGGATGTCTTTCCACTCCCACTTGCGCCCATAATCTGCAGCACAGGAGATTGCCCAAACTTACGATGTTATAGCTGTTCACTCACGCTTAAACAGAATGTAAAATGTTGTTCCGTCAATAGCCATTGCTATGCGTGCTGAAATAGCTATCACTCGAACTTCCAGCCACTAAAAATCCGCAATGTATATATACCAGTGTAAGATGTGCAATGTCATACTTGAATACCAAGGCACAACCGACTAGCGCTTATTACTTGAGAATTTCCAAGGGAGGTTTCAGCAGTACGCACCAATAAATCTTCTCCTTTATTCACTATCAAGGAAAGCTCCTTGAAGAGTGTCATGGAGTACTGAGGAGTGTACAACGTTACGTTCTCGAGCACGAGGAGAGGATGTGATGTGCTCTGCAACTCTTGAACGTCGATAAGGTTTATACGCGACCTTGCTGTTGATGGTAATGTTAAACTGTTTGCTGGCACTTCAGGTTCTGGTTTATCAACTGAGGTTCCTTTACTTTCAAAGGTAGCTCGTGATAGATTGTTCTGCTCCTCTAAAACATCAGTAAATTCACCTGTAAAAGTTGTATTATTAATTGTTAGAGACCCAAAACATCACATTAAGAAACAATAATACGTTGCATAATACAGTGTGTAAACCAGGAGGTCACCCCACAATTTGAAATTGACGGACTGTGTCTCGAAAGCTTACCCAGCCGATCAATCACTGCAGAGAAAGCACTAAGTGATTGAATTTCGTCAACAATTATAGAGAAGTCGCTCAAAACATTGCCAAAGGCCGAAAAAGATTGACTGATTACACCGAATCCTATTTTGCCTTCAAAATATAAAGGTGCCACTACGGCTGCTGGCAAGAGCTGGATGAGATAACTATAGAAGCTAGTAAAAAAGTCCAGGTTTCTTGATGTTTTCAACAGTTGCTGCCACCAGAATACACCAGATTTGTGAGCAAAATGAAAATATTATCTGCGGGCATGCTAGAACGTTTCCCATCGAACTAGCATTTCAGCTCTTACTTTTCTTCCAACTCTCGTGTTAATGACAAAGAAGACTGAAGAAGAAAATTATGGCAAATAAGAACTGAACTGTAGACACCCCCGTAAGACTGACAAATACGTGCGACGAATGCGGGAAAATGGCCCTAGAAAAATCCCCCAAATTCTATCCATATACTTCAGGGACACCCTGTCGAACTTCAAATCCCCCCAAGCTGGATAACAAAGAGAGAGCTCACAGTGTAATTATCAAATGACTGCTTGAATCTCTGGAGCAAGAGCTGTATCTCGCTCGCCTCCCCACCGTAGAAAGCGATTGATTCTGCATTCTCCCGTACGCGGACTAATCCATATCGAAAATCAGCTTCCCTCTTTTCTCGCATAAAATTAAGACTTACCAAATTCTGCAAAAAAAATCTCTTACAACTATCAGCATACTTGAAGCACTTCAAAACATTACGAAGGTAAAGTTAATTACGCAATGAAGGCTATGGAAAGTGAGCATAAGAAACTAATCATTAATTTTTGAAGAGAGAGCACGTGCACACAAAAATGCAGAAAGATAATCTTCAGAGCATCAGCGCTCACCTTGCCTAATAACACGCTTATGAAAGTCCCTCCAATCGAATAAACGAGGCAAACAAAAAATAAAGGTGGATAAATGCTATAAAGAATTCCGCTGAAGGATATCAGATTAATGACCGCGTTGAATAAAGCTAGAGCAAACCCTATAGTGCTTCCGGCAAAACTGTTCAAATCATCAACAATACGTTGGTCGGGGTTATCGATCATCGACTGAGACTGGATATTGTAAAATGCTCGATTTTCAAAATACTTGTCCAGGTAATACGTTGTCATCCACCCGCGCCATCTGAGTGCTAGTGTATCTCTGAAATAATCTCGCAGAACAAAAACCTACCAGGTCAAATCCACATATTCAGATATACCCACTGTAGAACAATATCAGCGTAAGGTCCACCTATATCAAATTAAACGCAAAAAGATTCTCAGTTTAACTGTATTATCTTCTAACAGCCAATACTCAAAGTAGAAGCTACTATGTTAAAAAATTCCTATCAATGCTGGTTTTAACCTCAAAAAATTATGGAATCGAGTCAAACGAGGTGCTTACTGGTATTCCTCCGACGAACGCTGCAAAATATCTAACGAGCTGGTTGTAGAATTGCTCCGGATCCTTAGCTGCAGAGAAAAGATTTAAATTTTTTGCTTAGCTGCAGCTCGAGATAACTAGGCTTACTATTGCGTCGCTTGCTTGAATGAAGACATGGTTCAGAGAAAAACATTTCGAAATTCAGACTGGAGATCGTAACGATGACCGAGTTGCCATACTTACTCGCAAGAGCATTCTGAAAGTCCCGTCCCAGATAGTTGAAGCCCACACTAATACCCGTGGTAGCTAGAGTAAGCGCAAAAACTCCACCCAACCAAAAGAGTGCCTTTACTTTGTCTTCTGAGCTCCAATACGGAGCTGCCACCTTCCAAAACCTTCGGAGAAGAGTAGGCAAATCTGAACTTCGCCTCTACAAAACAAAGGCGCCCGACAAGCATAGTAACTAAGATCTGGCATATCCAGGGTTGAAGACAAGTTAAGACATTGTATTTCTTCTACATCCCAGTAGGCAGATAAACCCCGAACTTATACAGTAGTTTAAAGTTAAACAGCCGCACACTCCTACATTCAGTAATATACTGCAAAACTAATATAACACAAAAGACATGGTCACCGTTCATGCGATTGGGACATAGACAATCGGTAGAATGATTTGTATCCATGCAGACTGTGTGTAGCACCTGATCCTCACTCACCTCAATTACCTCCTTAAAGATTTATCAGCATTGGCGTAATGCTTACGGTAATCTCAACTTTCTTATCCCATGAGGTCCAGTCAGATTATATTCTTAAGCAATATCTTTTGGTAAGAGGATGACTCGAAGTGCCTTTAAGATGAAAAACAATATTTCCAAGAACTCAAATATAGAAGTTACATTGTTCAGAAACGAAAGAAAACCGCTTCACTAAGTTACTCAAGTCACCTTCGCACACAAAGTACGTAAACCAATCGAGCTCTAAACCAGCTTGATATTGATAGGGTTCTCCTCATAATCCCCCCAAGATATTAAAAAAAATAAAAAAAATAAAAAAAAATTGGAGGTGCCTGATGCAAGTTCTCGCTGCTACGTGAGACGCACTTTAAGTATTTGCACTTTTCTTGTGTATAAATTAGTGGTCTAATCTGCAAATCATATTTTCAAACCCGCCAACATGCAAAAAATTACTGTAGTTTTTTCGAAATGAGTCACTTCTGGGGACAAACCTGTTGTTCCGAAGGTAGCACGAACTCCGCAATACAACCATCGAACGTCGCTTCAGACGAAGCGGACGAAACGATATCACGACCAAATGCAGCTTGAGGGAGATCCACTGAACCATTGAAGGGAACACTTTCCGGCTGGCCTCGGCTGTCGTCCTCGGCATCATCAGTTAACGAATTGGAATCCGGGGAACTAGCGAAAATAATGTTGGTCTGACGCTGACTAACCGTCTCCCCTAAAACTGGAGACGGTCGCGACTGATGCCCCCTGAACCGTAAGTTTCCAGCAGTCGCCATCCACTTCGTCGGCAGCGTTACGTGTGAGGCAAATGAGCTACGATGTTCCACAAATGTATCGCGAGCGCGCCTCAACGATAATGAGAGGTCAATTTGCGTCGAAGACGCGAGAGCGCTTATGGGTTCTCGAATGCCGCAGTGAACGCCCATCCTAATGCTGCTCCCAGCTCCGCAACAACGTTTACGAAGACGCGCTTTGACTTTCCCACACAACCCCCCTATAATTGAAGCTCCGTCACGTGTTACCAAAGATTCCCACGCCGTTCTGCACCCCGAACATTCAATAAAATGCATAAAACCGTCGTAGCACAGCGACAGCAACTACAGAGGAGGATTTAGTAATGTCAAATAGGACCACTATGGCCTTCGAATCCGAAAATTGGAGCTTTCTGGTCTTCGGCTATGGCATTCTCGTCAGCTTGCTGCAGCTCTCCCGCAATAGAGAGTAAAGTGTTCATTCCCTCGCCAACCCTCAGATTGTGGGCCGATGAGAACTGCTCATCAAGCAATCCATCCCGACCAGCCCTTTTCTCGACCCATCACTTTGAATAGCGACAAAAGTAGCCTATCCAAAAACCCATCAAACAACAATGAATCAATGAATAAGGTTTGATACACTACGGTACTGAGCCCGAGTGATTGGAACCCACGAACTCAGATGTTCACCGCCCGTGTGGGTGAATTTCAGCTCGATTGACTGCTCCAGAAGAAATTTGTGAGGTAATCGGCGGCTACCGTGCAGGTCAGGATTGTGCGGACGTCGGCATTGCCAGCGTGGAAAGGATCTCACGGCGACAAAACCCACAAAAGGGATTAAATGTCGATCACTTACCCTTCTACCTCACAGATATTGACTCTCTTGCGATCATCCACACCATGGCGGAAGCACAGGCACACAGCACATTACGATAGCGTTATGTGAAGGAAGTAGTAGAGGGCTACGAAGTGGGTTTCGGAGTGAAAGCAGTCACATATTAGTGCCGCAAAAGCATGAACAAGACCACAGAGTTGCATTGTGAGCATCATTGCAAGGTGAACCATGATGCCGAAGTTTTTGGGTTGATTTGTGGGCATGTGAGCTTGAGGGTAGAGTCATTAACAATCTGAGTCTTGGTCTAATAATCTCTCCGGATTAGTGCACGTTTGTGTTACGAAATTCCCTAAATCAGGACAAAAGTGTGATTGTGAACACAGCATCATATGATGGAGGTTGTGAACATCATGACATAAGATGGAGATTGTGAACACAACATCATATGAATGGCATAAACTACTATTATTTGCATTATGAGCTGATCGTACAACTCATAGTTTAATAACTGGTTATATGCCTTCTAAATTAATGTATGGATAAAAACAAATAATGATAATAGAAGAGATAGTGCCTACATCATGGGGTGTATTACCTTAGAAGGATGATCTTAGTAGAGAATAACTTTTAGCATTATAGATTCAATAATTAGAAAGAAGACCTAATGATATTGAAGTAGCAATGGAGAGGTTGAAAGAAGCAAGAAAAAAGAATAAAGAAAGATTTGATAAAAAAACATCAATTATGACCTAAGGTAGTTGAAAATGGTGATTTAGTATTAGTTTATGATAGTAGCTTTGACAATCAACATAGCTCAGTAAAGAAGCTTGCAAAGAGATGGTTTAGGCCTTATGTTATCAAATAAGTGTATAACAATGGAACATACTTGTTACAAGAACTTGATGGTACAAAATTAAAGATACCTATAGCAAGCAAGTTAATCAAGTTATTCAAACAAAGAGGTGAAGACTTTTGTTTTAATAAAAAATAAAATCCATTATAAGAGATTGAGATGGGAGAAGAGGAGAAAATTGAAGTTCAAGAACTTGACCAAGATGAAGAACTTTTTATATCAATATGATGAAGACAACCTAGTGCATGCTAGAAGATGCACAAGTTCAAGGTAGATGTCATGATGTAACATAGCTAATAGATAAAAGAGTAAATAAATATCATATTATAGAAGATCTTATTTCAAGATATAGTAGCAAATTATCTTCAAAATATAGATAATAGTTAAAAGGTACTCAAATTAAAAGTACATATACTACTTTTCTATAAAATAGGCTTCTATTTACTTTGTAGGACCATAAATAAGGCAAAATAAGATAGATTAGATAAAGAAATGATATAGGCATATGTAAAAGAAATTTAGGAGTTTATTTTAGTAAAAATTATCTCAAAAAAATAAGAATTGATATCCAAAAAGAAATGATTGCCAACCAGGGTTGAAATCAAACCTCAAGGCACAAAATTATATATCTATGGTGATTCTAGGATTTTTTTGCAAATCCAAGAGTGGAGTTTGAAAGAAGACTTTATAAGATTTTTTTAAGAATAGATTTTGAGAAATTTGAATTTGTATTTATTTTATAAGAGCTTTGCAAAGTTAAAATTGTTTTGGTGAATTTGGTTTTGTGAAATATAAAATATATATATATATATATATATATATATATATATATATTTGAAAAAAAATTATAAGTTTGATAATAGATCTATAGTCAAAAAAATTTAGATTTGTGATTATAGTTTCTTTTATTATGTACTATAAATTTGAGTATGATCAAATGGTTAGATTGAAGGTCATTGAAGTTTAAGTAGGTTGGAGTCTTAGAAATAGGATTTTGAGGGTTAGTGAGGATTTTTAAGATTTTTAGTGGTCTACTAGTTGAATTGAAGTGAAATTTATAATATGGATAGTAGACTTGATTTCTAACATATATATGAATTTTGAGAGGTATTTAACGATGGAATTAAGACATTTTAGCTTAGAAAGATTAATATAAAGATTGGAGATGGAGGCTGATCAACACCTGAGTGAATTTTAGGATTTATCTTCTATTTAGTAAGTTTTATCTTTTTAAAATCATTTGTGCTAGTTCCAAGCTTAATTATTAAGAGGTGTGCAAAATTTGAATTTAAATCAATAATTTAATTATTAGTTATAGAAGTTTCAATTTGATTAAAAAATATTATAAATTTATTTAATATTAAAGGTTGGTTTAGTATCTATGATTAATTTAGGATTTATCTAAGATTTTTTTAGGATTTTATTAAAGATTTTTTAGGCTTTGATTAAAATTTCCTTAAGATTTCATTAGGATTTTTGAAGATTGATTAGGATTTTATTAAGATTCAATTAAGATTTTTTTAGTATTTTTTATATTTTTTATAATTTATTTGAAAATTTAATTGAACTTAATGAATGTTTGATTATGTTTTTTAATCTTTAATTATAATTTATATATGATCCTATTAGAGTTGTTAGGAATTATTATTGCAATTTTCTTTTATCTTCTACAGCCATGTATTCAATACATTTTCATGAAAGACTTTACATAATATGACAATGAGTAAAGTCAAAATCATTTCTATTAAGTTTTTAGAAAGCTTTTCTAAAAGTTATTATGAAATTAATCTATATTTATCTATTTTTACTTAATCATATAGATAATTATTGGAATAAGTACATATATTTGTGACATTACCTTCTTTCTAGAGACAAGTTCTACAAAGAGCAATCATCATCTTTTATAGATCTTTTTTTTTTCATCTTCATTTTTATGGATGTTATTGATGAAGAGCCTCAATCCTCTTTTTTTCATTTACAAGATTTTTTGCTAGTTCCCATATGTATTCATTAATATTATAGCCACACCAATAAATAAGATATTTCAATCTATTTTAGCGCCATCTTGAATCTAAGACTTCTTCTACCTTGAATGCTTGATTATTATCTATTTTTATAGGAAGAAGTAGCATTTATCTTCTTCTCAAAATATTCATTGTCTTATATGGCTTAAAAGAAACATGTGGAATATGAGATGAATCTTCATAGACTCCAATAGACATAATCAACAAGCATTAAGATCAACTTATTTACAAATAAAAAAGGTCCAAGCTTATGATAGTCCAACTTGTCACAAGAATAAGTAGTCTTGATATTGCGATAAAGTAACCATACCTTGTGACTCATATTGAATTATGATTGTTCTTTGCAATAGACATTCATATTGATCTTTATTATTCTTGAACTTCTCTTAAGTACACCTTCATTATTGCATGTAGCTTTGAGAAATAATTTACTAATTCTTTTGCTATAGGATTATCAACTTTTGAAAAGTTAAAAATATCAAGTTGTAGATGATAACCATAATTGGCAAAGAAAGGCTTTTGTTGACTAGAAGAATGTATAAAATTATTATATACAAACTTTGTTAATAGCAAAAGAATTATCAAATCATTTTGATGATAGTTAATGGTACATCTCAAATACTGCTTCAAGACTTGATTCACATATTTTGTTTGTCCATTAGTATGAGGATGAAAAGCCAAAGAGAGCTTCATATTCATCTTTAAAATCTTACAAAAGATTCTTCAAAATCTTGATACAAATTTAATTCTTTTTTTTAATATAATATCTTTGAACAATCCGTGATAGCGATAGATATTGTAAAAAAAAAGCTTAGTCATTCCTTCATCTATAATGTATTTTATATATAATATAAAATGAACCATTTTAGTATCACAATCTATTATTACAAATGTACAATTATACAAACTTGAAACTCAAAGATCTTTAATGAAATCCATAGAAATAAAATATCATGTTTGTTCCAAAATAGGTAATGGTTGAAGAAGTCCATATAATCAATGAACAAGAATTTTTAATCTTGAAAAAATATCATTTAATTGTATAAAATCTTTAATTACCTTTCACATTTGAGGCTACTAAAAGTCTCTTGATATTAGCTCTAAAATCTTGTTGTATCCAAAATGTTTGTTTGCTAGACAGTTATGACAAGCTTAGAGAACATATAATCATACTTCACCTTCTAGAAAATATAATTGTCCCTCAAAATAGAATAAATTATTCTTAAATTTAAATTTAAAAGTATCACGAGACTTAAAAGAATTATTCTTTATATTATAAATAAGAAAATCAAAGAATATATTCAATTGAATTTACTTGAATAATATTGAATCAATAATTACTATTGATTTTATTATTCAAAGATGAAAATACTTTGGCTTCAAGAGAACTATTCTTGGTTCATCAAAGGATGCATCTCATTCTTTTGATGCAAGATAAAAAAAAATCTAGAAAAGACATTTGACAAACCTTATTATTTTCTAGATTGATAAGTAATCTTAAAATCAAATCTTAATAAAGACATGCTCAAACGGACTTGATGACAATTCAAAATATATGCAAATATGAAATACTTTAGCTTCTTGTGATTTATATATAGTCATTAGAGTCAAGGCATCTTTGAAATAATGATGTCATTCTTCAAATCAATGTATGATTGCAAGAAGCTCTTTATTGTGGATCTTATAATTAATCTTGGTTGCTAAAAATTTCTTAGAATAAAAAGCTATTATGTGGAACTTGTCATATGATCCTATTTGTGATAGAACATCATCCATAGCAAAGTTTGATGTATCTATTCCCATAAAAAAATATCTTAGAGAAGTTTATAAAATATTAGATTAAAGCAAAAATAAATATTATTTTTAAGGTTTGAAAAGATGTTTTAGTATCTTTGCTCTACTTAGATTTGTTTTTATATATCATACATATAAAAAGAATTGTAATTTGAAAAAAATTCTTGATAAAGATCCTATAATAATTAAAAAAATGTCAAAAAATATTTCACATCTTTG